GAACATTTCCATATTATCGGTATTGATAGTTCGGAATATATCACCTTGGAAACATATACCACCTTGCTATATTGGAATACATCGCCTTGAAAATCTGTCAGCTCAATACATTCATGTTTCGCTTTCTTGGTGCTATAATCATGTGTTCTTTAATTAGATCATAAATACAGCGATTCAATGAGAAGATTCGACATTTTGATGAAAAATCCGCAATTCTAAAGCTATTTGCGTATGCTTCGCAAGTTTTTTGAGTGAATCAAGCTCAGGGCAGCACTATACTCAGTTTTCGCGAGCTAAATCATTTGCTTCATGATGTATTCCTGGAATTTCAGTACCTGAAAATTGTCATGAAACATAGAAGTCCTCAGATGAAAAATCAAAATTTTAACAGTCTATATTCCTTTAAATCGAAAAGGTGATATAAGCGATACATGTCCCTTTAAATATCGAAAGGTGATATGTGATCATTTGAATATGAAACTGGATTTATTCCATACAGGGCAAAGGATATGCGAAGTAAGTACGAGAGCAAACGTTATGAGATTAGACTACGCAATTACTATCGGTGTATGCAGCTGAGAGATGAACAAGCCTCAACTTATGCCAGGGTAACGGCAATCACAGCGTTGCGAGATGCGGAAGTGAATTTACGATGCTTCGACTGGTATTATTTTCTTGTCTCTTTTCAATTCCCCACCCGGATCCAGAAAACGTCCACTTCGACGAATACGAGGAGAAACCATCTTTCAAAGACATCTTATCTGACTTAATTCATTTGAAGATTCGCTTTCATCAATATGACTTTACGCGGTTTACTCACTGAAATTTGATCCCACTATCGATACGGAAGCTTTAACCAAAAGCGTTCGGTTTCAGCTTGAGTCCAGAAGAGCAAAATGAAGTGGAGGAAGTTTGGAAGCCGAACGAATCATTTTTGGGCAAGAAAACTCGCGTAATCTACGATCGGATCAAAGAGGTATCAAGTTATTTAGATTGACCAGTTCCCATAAGAACTTTAGCTGGTATATGATTGAATTCATGATTCGGCTACTTTATCCGAATGTTGAGAACAAATTATTGCAAATTAAGGTTTAGCTGTAAGAGGCTTCATGCTCGATCGATTTTCAGACAAGAACACGACTCTTGTTCATGCTTGTAATTACTTTCCTTTTATTTGGGTTTGAGTTCGCGATGGGACTGTATTAAGAAATTGATAGTAGAGTACTGTCAATTGCATAATTTTTCTCAGTGATTGTTTCAGGCACTTCTGGCTGCTGTCAATGTTCACAAGAAAAGCGACCCTAAGGAATGGGATTATTCATGGGAAAAGGCAGAACTAACTCACAGTTGGAAAGGGGATTGGTGGAACGTAATAGGAATTGATGATTCACTCTCAATCGCCGATAAAACTATGGAAGTTTTACGGAGGTTTTGGCTGATTAGATTCTTCGTGATCAAGAAAGCTCTCGGAAAGTCTCATCGAACTACCATAGTATCATAGACAACCTGTTTAAAACACTGAGTTCATTTTGATCATTGCATGAGTGATTTGATCTTGCGCGAGATGCTTTGAAGCTGATCGTGAGCAAAGTTTCGAAGAAATCGAGCTCAATTCTCAACATATCAGGATCGATTCTGTTTGATATTTATTAGTGATTGAAGTACTCGTAATAATGTTACAGAAAGATGCGTGGCGGCGGTAAACGACCTAAACTCGGTGATCACTTTGAGTTGAGGCTTCCGGCGGTCACAAAACACGAAATGGGATGGTATCGCTGTGTGAAGCGCTTGCACACTAACGACAGCGATGACAGGAACGGTGATATCATCCAGGTTGCGAATATGTACTTTGTGGATGCAATCTCGAATATCACCTCGAACGTCGTTAGTTTCAACCAACTTTTTTTATTCCTTTCAATTATTCTTATGGATCTGAAATATATGAATTAATAAGTGACATCTGAAGTGTTTACACGAAACATATGGGATATTTTGATTGTAGCAAGCTGCGTTCAGTTAGATTTGAAAACCGAACTGAATAGTTTCTTTCTTGAAAAGCCCTATTTCTGATATGATTGCAATCGGTTCCCACTGATTCAATGATCCCAAATCGCACGTTGCCATTTCACTTGAGTGGAGCAATTTCATTGTGGTTGGTACTGTCTTCGTGAAGACAGTAGTGAATTCAAGCGGAATCGAGTTACTCCGAGATTCCTCATCATTATCGTTGGAACGGGAAACAGTTAGTTAACATAGAAAACAGCTATGGATGATTCACTGATACTGACTTCATCTCAGAGATTTTTCGAGAATCAAAATGAAAGTGACCTTATTGCGAGACGAATGGATCGGTCATTCGTTGAGCTGAAGCTTCAAACTCGTGGCATAATCACGAACTGGAGTGATTGCAGTCGATGCGGTCCTAAAGGTGGTGAAACACGCCGAAAGATCAAATGTGTCCTAATGGTGAGCATTTTTCATTCTNGGTCATTCGTTGAGCTGAAGCTTCAAACTCGTGGCGTGATCACAAATTGGAGTGATTGCAGTCGATGCGGTCCTAAAGGTGGTGAAACACGCCGAAAGATCAAATGTGTCCTAATGGTGAGCATTTTTCATTCTCATCTTGAGTCATCTTCAAGGATTTCGGATTTTTTCCGTTGCATCTGATAATAATTCAAAATTTTGCCTTCATTTACACACAGTCACTTTGCTTGCCTAAATTTGAATATGAGTTTTATAGTAATGTTGAACGGTAATCCTCGCAGCACATTTTATGTTGAAACGGATAAATCCAATTTTTTGAGAATCTTTTTATCGAAGACTTCATGTTTCTTCGTATTTTTTATTATCAGTATTTATTTATTTTGGGTTAACGAAATTTCCCCCTAATGACTAGTGTGTAGTGAGAATTTCTTGGGGAAAATTCTTTAGTTAGCGTGAATGATCTATCTGAGTTGATGGAATCAGTCATATGCAGAGCATTATGCTATTCATTCTCTTAGCAATCATTTGTAGCCATTGGAAAACGTAACAGCGGAAGAGCTCAACAACGGTCCATTCTCGTACATTCTGCTTTTTGGTGAAATTCCTTGTCGCAGCTCGTTGGTACCACTGCAACTTCGACGAACGTTGTCTGCAATTGATGATGTCGATGAAATTGCTAGCTGTCAAGTGAGCGAAATATCGTCTTTTGAATTAAAAGAAAACTAAACTTTGCTACTAATTTCTAAATAATCTCATTTGAAAATCGAGCTATCTGACAATTCTCTCTGGAGCACAGCTAGATTTTGCCGAGATCTGATGATGCGATATATTTGTGATGAACTCGACGAGATATGCTGCGAGTATAACTGATCAATTTGCAACGTTCATTCAACTCGAATGATGCGGAACCTTCAGGTAAAATGTGGCAAAGCAACAGCTGAGAGGCAACGAATCATCAAGGAAGTGAATCAGTTCGGGCGTGAGACTATTGTTGACGTTTTGCCACCGGGCGAATATACGCTCAACGAGAGACTTCCACCACTTAAAAAACCCGTGGAACGGCGGACAATCAAGGTTGTCAGGGAAGCACCTGAATTGTCTGACACATCAATTTCCACTCTATTCAGTTCCCTTTCTGTTCAGCATGATCACTTATAAAATTCTCATTTTGATCAGCACGATCAAATTAATATTACTTACCTATGGGAACACTACAAGTTATGTTCAGGCGGCCTGTGCCATCAAATTTTCTCAGCC